GCATGTGAATTGTGAGTCATGAGTTATGACTACGTATTACTGCTAACGCATCAGTAGCACCCTCAGAAATAACCAGTGTCAGGATTAGTGACTTTTTAAATTAAGCATTAAACTGTTTTTGTGGTAATTTGTTTGAAAAGGCTTAAACTTCCTCGCCTGATCTGGCGATCTAATGGTAAAAGTGAAGCAGCTCTATTTTCCAGGTACAAATAGTTTTAGATACCACCATATCTCTTGAGAGAGAACACAGCTCACTATATACCCTGACAGTTGATTGCATTTCTTCTTATTAAAATACCATTACAGAAAGCTATCCCATTTCCTCAAAAAAGAATCTATGTATATACATAAGCTGCAAAGCTCTTAGAAGAAATCACCTTTCATAAATAGAAAAAATACAATAGTTTCTTTTCCAAGAAATTATCAACTGCATATCTCACAAATAAACTATAAGCATCCTTCTTGACATAAGAGTGCATGAGGCTGATTTACAGTACATTATAAACATCTCTGCTGTCACTGGAATAAGTCCAACATTCAGACAACTTGGTGAGAGTGGGAGGGAAATCAGTTTTCTGTGTAGTGGCCTGCAAAGTCATCTTGCAATCCTATTTATCCCTGTCAAAGCAACTTAGCAATTTCCTTAACTTTTCCAAGTTAAAAAAGTACAGAGGCCCTTTATCTTCTGTTTTGGTTTTTTTTTTTTCCCCTCTTCATTTTCCCTATGAGTTTGGCAATCCCATGTCTTCAACAGGAGTTAGTAATTGCTGTGGGTGATACTTTTGTAAAGATGTTTTTCCCCCAAGTTAGAGTATCTTAGAGTTTCAGCTGTTAGGAAAACATCTCCCTTTTTAGTGATTCTGTGATTATTACATTTACTAAGGTGGGAAAACGCCTCCAAGATCATCCAGTCCAACCACCAGCAATATTTCCCCCACTAAACCATGTCCTGCAATAGACGTCTGAATGTTTCTTGAATGCCTCCAGGGATGGTAGCTCCACCACCTTCATGGGCAGCCTGTTGCAGAGCCCGATTGCTCTTTCAGAGGAGAAGTTTTTCCTAATATCCAACCTGAACATCTCCTGGCACAACTTGAGGCCCTTTCCACTCATTCTAATGCTAGTTATGTAGGAGAAGAGGCTAACCCCCACCTCACCACAACCTCCTTTCAGGGAATTGTAGAGAGCTGTAAGGTTTCTAGGCTGTGTCAGTAATTCTCACAGCTACTCAGAGGGAAGCAGTGTTGAGTTGCCAAGGAATTAACATCTGTAATTGTTTAACAGCCCTACTACCAAGTAGCAAACATGAGTCTGCTATACTAAAGTATTTGCTGAAATCTTTCCCTCCATTGCATAGAAAAATAGCTTATCATTCATAATAAAAGATAGGCACTGTAGAGTTGATGATGACTCTTAATTATTTGGAGATGTTTCATTTCTGATGAAGATGTGGAGTTCGGTATTCTGAAAAGATGCTTTCCATGAATGCTGTACAAGCTTAAGCTGAGAGGTCTGGAACAATCTTGTATTTATTGTTGCACTCGGTCTGCTTCCCTTCCCCCTTTTCCTCCAAAGCATTATTTATTAAGGGATATTGGTTTTATTTTTTTGCTTGCAAGGCTGTTGTTTTGGGGATTTTTTTGTTTTGATTTTGTTTTTTACCAGGAAGATATGGAGAGGAACAGTATTACTAACAATTATGCGGAGGTTGGTGGCCCTGCATGCAGCAAGGGGGTTGAAATTTGATGATGCCTGGGGTCCCTTCCAACACAAGCCATTCTATGATTCTATGAATATCAAAATTCAAGAGTAAAAATGTAATTTCTCTGTAAATACACTCGCTGATTAAAGTGAGATTCCTGTCCTTTTTCAGCAGAGAACTGCTGCTCAGCAACAGGGACTCGCTTAAGGAACAACTTTGCAAGAACTGCTATTCTGAGGAGAATTTTTTTCTAGTAGTGAAATGAAGATGCAATTTTTTTATTACATTTTACAATGTAGGCTCATATTCCTTTCTCTCTTAACATCAGGAGTATTAGTGGACTTGAAAAATCTATTTCCTATGTTTCACACACCCACCAAGCTTGTGAGTAAGTAAACCTGCTACACCTTAGGTACAGGTAGAGCTATAAGAAGTGCCATTGTTTCTGATTGTCCTCACTTTCCTGGAAGGAAGATTTACCTGGAAAGGGGATGGAGAATGAGATTAGATTAATGGTTATGAATGAATAGAAACATTTCCTTTGAAATTATAATATTTAGCTGTGGGTACACCATCATTCAGGAAGTGGATAAATATAACTGGTTGCTCAAAGTAGTGGCTATGACAACTGCCAAGGGAAAGAAAACTGAATAATATCTTAACTTTCATTGTCCCAGGAAGAAACAGTCTGGATTGATAGGATACAAGAAAGATACAATTGTTCTCCTTGTTAGTCTTGATGCCATCTTGAATTATCAGGAGTTTGTCCATTGCTGATCTGGAGGATTCAGTTATGGTAGTAGCTGCTGTTTCTCCTCCTTTGCGTGCCGATGGTGAGGGAGATGCTGTTTTTGCCTCTTCCAGAGATGCTGCAGCTGTGAGAGAGGCATTACTATTGGGCAGCACAGTGTGACTGGGAACATGATGCCTCTCAGGAATAGCAGAAGCTGAAGACTTGGCCTTTACCTCACTCCAGATGTGATTGTTGGGACATCAGCTGCCTCTGTTGCGTTGTTTTGTTCAGGGGTGTCTTCCCTCTTTCCCTGCACATCCTCTGGAACAACACTGCAGGTGGCAGGGTAAAGACAGGAGGGCAGGTCCTTGGCACCCAGTGTACTCTTTTCAGAGGCAGCAGTTACGCTGTCTGGTGCAACTGGTGCTGCTTAGGGCTTTTTGAATTTGGGTACCTGCATACTGCTTCAGGGCTGGGACACATCTCTGCATGAGGCCTGTGGGTCATACATGCCTGTTCTAACCTGAAAGAAGCTAGGGTTTATATATAAGCAGCAGTAAACAGATGACTCTTACTTAACCAGGACAATTTTCCTACAGAGAACAGTGATTTAGTTACTATTCAGCAAACACCTAGAGCAGTCACTGAAGTATTTCCAGATTCCTACTGGGTGCCTATGGGGAAGCCATAGCACCAGCTGCTCTAATGTGCTATTCCATAAGGTACTTGTGCTTTCACCTATAAATTCCCCTCTGTTGAATTCTATTTCATCCCAATATAAGGACATTCTAACATACATACATTTCTAATGTTGTACATTTGTAATATATCTCTGCTTTTTTTCTAAACAAACCTTGTGAGAGGTAAACCACATCAATTCTTTCTCTTACTGCCCATTCTATATGGGAGTTCTTCTGCTTGTGATCAGTTGAACACACACTGTTCCCCAGTGCAGGTTAACTTAAAGCTTTGGGGTATCTTACCACAGCAAATAATAATTTTATTAAAAATGAAAAAATAACAGGGTTTTTTTGCACATGCTAGTCCTTGTAAGGTTGGTTTTTTTTCCAGACTTTATTTGGAGAAACTGGTTTCTACTGAAGAAACAGGCTGAAAGCAGTAGAGGCTCCCTATTCCACTCCCCAAAATGACCACTTACCATAAATAGAGTTGTTGCTGCAGAACTTGCACTGTTAGCTGTGTTTTGGCAAGGTTCTTGTATGTAGCATCTGCAATGCCAGATGCAGGCTGTAGGATTATGACAAAATGTCACTTAAGAAACTTCATCATCATTCCCAACATAGGATCAAAAAGGTTGGACAAGACTTCTAAGATTATCTGCTTGTTCTTTTATTTAAATATATGTCCATGCATATTAAAAGGAATCTTTTGTGATCTCCTAAACTATGGTAATTAGTACTACTGACTTCTACCTACTTCTCTGCAAAGAACCAAAGTTTTGATGCACCAGAGAATGTAGGAAACTGGTTATTTCTCTTAAAACTTTAAGTTACTTTTAGTAAGAGTTTGCCCTGTCTTGTTTCTTGCTGTACTTCAACAAAGGGCAACAGAACAGTTAGAAAGTTTGTAATTTAATACCTTTGATCCCTGTAGGATGAGGAAGTAGCTGCAGATGTGGCTCCAGTTTCTCCTGTAGTATTTCTCTGCCTGTGAGAGTTTGAACAAGTCATTCAAGTAAAATAATAAAAATAATGAGGGGGGGAGAAAAAACATGAAAGCTTTGCATCTGAAGTTAATTTACAAAGAAAATCATAGGAAGGTTTGTTTTTGTTTGTTTGTTTGTTTTTTTTAAATGTGAAAGCAGAGGCACCAAGGATGGTTATTTCTGGAGGCTCTTCATCGTCTAGAGGAAAATCATGATGTAAATAGAGGAGGGCTGAGAGGAAAAAAGTTGCAATTTGACAGGTTTCTGATCAAAACAGTGAAGAATATCTAGAGCAGGAAACTAAGGCAAGAAAGAGCATGATGTTGGTTCTTGTGTAAGTGTGCCACTTGCTGCAAAGCATGAAGAGTTCAGAGAGCCTGTGCAAGGCTGGTTGGCTCTCTAGCCAGGATGGTTGGATGTGCTCCCTGCCAGCTTTGAGTGCTGGCACCTGCATTTCATTTCTCATATACCTGAGCTTTCCCAGGGCCTTTTGGATGACTATGCCTTGAGGGAAATAGGAGAAGCATGGAAGCTGCTGAGGTGATGGGAGCTCATTTGCATGGAAATCCAGTGGGGAGAATGTAGTCAAAGTTGTTTAGGGAACTTCTTCCTTCTCCCTTTTCAGGACAAGCCAAAGCAAAGGCAAGGCCAGCTTTGGACTCCAAATATCATAGTTGTGATATAAATCGTGATGACTACTCTAGGACAAAGGAATTGCTCTTACCTAAAAATGTTTTGCATAAAGAAAATGAAGTCTCTTTCCTAGCCCATGCTTTGTGACACAAGTGTACCTGATGGGAAGGAGTTTGTTCCCCCTGCCTTACCTCCAGGAGCACCTCTGGCATTGTAATGTCTTTGAAAAGTTTAGAACTTAATGGTGTTTTCTCTCCACACAATAGGAACATGCTGCCTGCTGATGCCCTCCAGGAGAAGGTGGAGGAGGTTGCTGGTGTGGCACAACCTATGAGGTGTGGACCATGTGTGGGGGGCTGCTCTTTGTTCTGGTGAGGCACTTCAGTCATCTCTTCAGGCTGCTCTTCAGCTCTGTGAGTACACTGGTTTACTTTCTAAAATATATTTTAGTCTGCTTGTGCGCCTTTATGTCTACTAGACCTGTCTGTCATTAGCAGGGACAGGACACAGCTTTCCATCGCTGTCCAGTTGAAGATGAATTTGGCATGAATATGTGCTGTACCATGTGGTAAATATGCTGTGTTGGAGGTTACTGTCTGCTCTGCTATGGTTTACAGCAGGCAGGGATATGAGAAAATGCAATGGAGGTGTTCAAGGCTAGGTTGGATGGGGCCTGGGCAACCTGATGTAGTTCTGGATTTTAGTGGCTGGCAACCCTGCCTGTGGAATGGAGGTTGGAACTTGACGATCCTTGAGGTCCCTATCAATCAAGCCATGCTATGGTTCTATGAGTATTGAGCTGTATTGAAAGGAGCAATTGGGGTAAGGGCTTGTACTGGTACTGCTTCTGTGCTCTTCATTTGTCTCAGATGGCCTCAGTGGAATGGGGATTTGGAGTGGGAAGATGAGGAGTGGAAGAATGATCCTCTTCTTGGCTGCTTCCTGCCTGGAAGGTCTATGGCATTTCAGTGAGCTTCTGTTGTTTGAGAGCTATTGCAAAGCAGTTGCACGACTGTGGGAATGAGTTTGTAAATCATTGGTATATGTTGCATTGCCTCCTTTATGTTTATTCTCATATGGCTTTTCTTTAAAAGGTTGAATACTTGTTCATCTCCATATGAATAATATACGTGCAGGTTATGTTTTGCAGTCTAATTCCCAGGGAATAAGGTGCTGCTGTCTGTCTCTGACTGGAGCAGTCAAAATACTGTAGGATTTCACTTACTGATCCAACTGTTCAAGAGTGCTGCACTACAGGGAAGTAAATCATGTAAACTGCAAGCGGAGGAAAGAATATCAGTGCCTTACGGTAACGCTTTTGGTCTGTGCTGAAGAGTGGTTCTGTGTGGTTATACCCCCTGCTGAACTTCCAAACCAAGTGAAAGGGCTCTGGGCTGACTTATAGGCATGCTCTCCAAGCATCAATTACTATTTTTTTATTTTATTTTTACTACATCTTTAAGCTTCAGCTGCCATAGCTGATCCTGCAACTAGCAAAGGATTGGTGAGTTAGAGATATCAATTCCCTACAGCTGCTGGAAGTCTTTAATATATTCACTGTCCACTGTAGGAAGGCCTTGCAAATCACATCACAAGGCACATTCCTTGGAGGAAAATTGCTCCCTTACACTTAAATATTGCCAATTTCCACTCACTGCATGTGGACAGCCATGTTACCCAGAACCTGTGCCAGTATTGCAGTAACTGTCCTTGTGCTATGCATACTGCTGGGGGACCTGCTCCTGGCTCTGCTCCTGCATGGGGACAGCTGGCAACACCAAGGAAGCTACCTGCTCTGTCTCAGGATCCAATTGCTGCCTTTATTGATGCTTGTCACAGCAGTAGTTCTTACACCAGTGTTGTGCTTGGGCCAATCTGTCTCTTTTGAAAACCCTATGTCAGATTTAAGGTGAGGAATGGGGAACCAGGATCTACTCCTGAGGTCACTGGGCATGGAAATGCCCTAGTGGGTTCTGCCTGTCCTCAGCAGTGCCAGGGCCAGGACTGTCCTTATGCTGGTACAACATACCTTGGTAGGCTTTGGGGCAATAGGGAGATGACTGCAGCAGCTCTCATTTCACAAGAACTGAAAGGCAGCCATGAGCTGCTGGATTTGCCTTCTGCTTGCCTTTGTTAAGGCCAGGGTATTAGGTCTGTTCTGCCCTTTTTCAAACTGCACTTCTGGTGGTAATTCCCCCAGCATCACATAACTTGAGCACTGCTGTGCTGAGAGCAGTTAGAGGCTGACTGTTGTGAAGTCTTTTTCATGAAAAGCCACTGTTTTAACTCCTTCAGTACAAGTTTGTGGTGCTGACTGGTGTTTGCAATCTAATTTAGGGCAGCCTGGTAATGTCTAGACACTGCAATACTGATGCTTCCTTTAAGGAGCTGTTAGCAGGAATTATTTCAGTATCAGAGTTTACTTGCTGTGTGCAGCCAGTGGTCGCACAGCAGTTAAATGTAATAACTCTTTAATGGCCTCTGCTTGCTGCAGTGTTGTTGCTTGCTGTCAGTGAGGCGCTTGGGGAAAAGGGACTTTCCTGAGGCTTCTGCATGGGAATTTATTGTAAAAGGGGAGCTGAGCTTTAAATTGGAGCTGTCGGGTCTGGCCTTTGGGTTGGGGAGGAAATATCTGGGGTGCCAGGGATTTTCCATGAAGAGTGGTCTCATGGCACCCTGGGAGCTGTGTAGGCTGCTAGATGACTGGCAGGCTGATGCTCATGTACCCATTTTGTCCTCCAACTTCAGACAAGTCTCTTAGCTTCATCCTTTGCATCCTTATAGTGTAAAGTCTTAATACGCTACTGTGAGGTCAGTATCTGCACATGTGTCTTTAAAGTAGAGCTGTGGAGGGTAAATTTGGCCTCCTGGGAGCAGCTGAGCCAGACACCTCAGTGCTTTGCATAATGTCCGTGAGCCACTCAGCACGTGCTGCCCACAGGGGTTTAATTGCTCCAGAGGACACCTAGACCTAAACAGCCACTGGGAAATGAGCAATAGGAGACAGTCTGCTGCAGAGGTCCTTTTGAATGTCAAGCTGCTGGAAACCCCCGAAGAAATACAGTGCTGAAGGTTAAGAGCATTGAGTAGTGGATTTGAAGCAAATACTAAATTTTATTGCTAAAACAGTTGGGCAATGCAGTGTGCATAAATTTTAAACTTTAAATCTATCAACTGACTTGGATTTAAACTTAATCAGCTGGCCACAACTTTCGTGTCCCCACCTACAGCAGCACAACCACCTGGGGCAGCTATATGCAGCATGCTAAGCAATGCAGCTGCTGTGGGATTCACAGCACGCCTGTGCCTCCCTGAGCACTCTGATATGTGTCAATAGATTATCTGATTCATAAAGCTGCTGTCTGAAAGAGATGCTGTTAAAAGAAATAGTTATTAAAAATAGCAAGAACTGTCTCTTATATTGGAGTGGCAGGGCTCCCTGTCACTGTCACTGCTGTTCCTTGCTGCTAGACGCAGCAGCTCAGAGCGATCCATCAGATTTGGCAGGATTAGGAAATGCAGGCCAGCAAATAAGCACAATGCTGTGGGTCTTGCTGTCAGGAATTTCCCTGCACGTGCCACAGTCAAATTCAGAACTTTGCTTGGTGTTATAATACAGCTCAAAGGTACCAAGAGTGTCCTGAAACTGAGGTGTCTTTTTTACTGAGCTACTTCACACCGGCTTGCTAGCAAGCAATCCAGAATTATAAATGTACTTCACCTTTGCAAGATAATTTTAATTGGCAAAACAGAAGTGTTATGGTTTGGGGCAAGGTCAGGAAGGTGGCAATGTGATAGCAAGGAATTTGCTATCATCAGTTGTGGTGGCCACAGGTTAGGAGCAGAGAACTGCAGTAACCTCTGTTAAACTGTTGCTCTTTTGAAATGCAAATAAAAACGGATTTCAAAGACCTACAAAAGTAATTTCAATGATTTCTCCAGCTCCTCTTCAAGCAGATTGATCTACAAAATAATTCTCTGCTGTTCTATATGTAGTTGGATTCCTTCTTATGAGAACTAGGCAGTATTTTCCTTCTGCTATCTGCTTTTCCTGTAGATCTTTTCTGATGTAAAACTACTTATTTAGTCAGGCTTGGAGATAAAGCATTTAAGCAGCAGTGATGAGCAGACTATCTGAGCAAAAATTTGCAGTAATTTTCCCTGGGAATAGGTTCCTGCAGAAGGCTTTTCAACAAAAGGAAGGGCAGATCAGTGGCTCCTTTGTAGGGAGGATGGACAGGCTTTAATATTACCATAACTTCATCAGGATACATTCAGCAGACACCTGATGCTGCTTGCCCCGCAGACTGCTTTAGTGTGTTATTCTGGCTCAGCAGCCACTGTAGCTCTCAACTCTTTGGGAGACTTCACTTGAGATGAGAGACTAAATAGACCTGAGTGAGCCAAACTGCTTTCAGCACTCTTGCTGCCCCCAGGTCTGCCAGCTTACTGGGTTCAAGAGCTCCTCTTGCCTTTCCCTCATTCAGGAAAGTTGTACTGACTTACCTCAAACCATGCTGTATGGGGACTGCTGAATCATGGCCTGAACCTCTGATCACCTGAGGCGAGAAGTGAGTCAGCCACAGGAGCACAGTGAAGGCTGTTGGAAGGGGTGCAGCCTGGCTGCACCTCTCCTAGACCTATTTAAGAGCTGGCTACCAGTGGGGAAGGATCTCTTCTGGAGATCCTCTCCGCTGGAGTTTCCCATGCGAGCCCAGGATAGGGTGAGTGACCTTCATTTCTGCTCTAGTATAACTACATAAGCCAAGCTCTCAGATATACTATATCATCTGTATATTCATTGATTGTATGCATGCCAACACCAGAAGTTGGATTTCTGTTGCGCAGATCTCCTGATATCAGCGGTGATCAATAGTTTTTGATGAAGAGGAACTTATTTCCTCACTTCAGTGTCTTCCATTTTGAGTAATGCTTAGTAGGTTACTAATGCATTTTGTACTTTCGTTTTTTGAATGTTGAGCTTGCTGAATTGCATGCTGAAAACCCTTGACGTTTTCTTGTATACTATTTTTACCTTTCATGTTTGTTGAAAAGGCTGAAAGGATGTGTTGCATTTAGACAGTCTAGAAGAAGTACTTCCTGATGTAAAAATTAAGGCATGATGCTTTTTTTGAAGAAGAGCCGAGAATAAGACTATAGGATTTTTACATTCAAGTAGTCATATGGATAAATAGACCCAGGATATTTCCTTCCAAATAGTAATAATACAGACAGGTCACAGTTGTGTCAAACACATGAGATTTTTACTTACAGAAGAAAATAAACAGAACTGTTTTGTTGGTCCCCATGAGGTTGTAGGCATGTCGAAGCTAGACACACTGAATCTAGACGTGACCCACATGTTCTCTGGGGATGTGGTGTTGTATTACGTGAAGACAGTAAATCGTATGAC